TGTCTTCTTCAACAGCGTCACTTTTTTGATTCTGGCCGTTCACTCCACTTTGGATCATGTAGATCAGGGGTTCTCAACTGGTGGGTCGCGACCCAAAAGTGGGTCACGGACCTGTTCTGGGTGGGCCGCGAACAGCTGGTCAAAACTAAATAATATATATTGTGCGTCTCAGGTTGGACTTATTTTTTATTTTGAAAAAACGTTTATTTTGACAGGCACGGTAACCATAGTTTGTTTGACGTTCATTTTAAGTTTGTGTTGATGTTGGGATGCAAGATGGCAAAGCGCAAATATGACCCGGAGTATTTAAAATGTGGGTTTTCATACGAGGACTGGACCCGAATGGCCTAATAGCCAACTATTTGTTGGCTGTGCTGGAATCGGGATATCAGTTTTGATCTCCGACTATTCCTCCCCACCCCCCCAGACTTTGAAACTCTAATCAAGAGCAGGTGCCCAACTGTCTCAATAACTTCAACGAATGACCTGATCAGGCCAAAACTTTATTTTCGAGTAGTTTTGATATTTATTTTATTCACTTTTGTACCTGCAGTTGTCATGGTCCTCCTTAGTTTTTATATTAATTTGCTCAAAATGGAGTGAAAACATGTTGTTTTGTGCCCTTTTTTTATTTTGTGCAGTTTTGTACATGCAGTTGTCATGGTCCAGCTATTATGCATGGTTATATGCTCTGAAATGCATGTTGCACAGGAAAATATACTAAATTCTAAAAAAAATTGGGTCACGACTTAATGACCACGGAAAAATGTGGGTCCCAGGGTGAGACCAGTTGAGAACCTCTGATGTAAAGAGCCAAGACCACACTGACAAAACACCTCTGCTGTAGGTGAAAGGACAGACATCGTAGAGAAAGAACTTCTAGAAAAACACTAAATCCTGCATTAATCTGTATTTAAAGATGGATGAAAAAGAAAAACTTCCTCTAGAGGCATCCGTTACCTGATCCCATCTCGTCGCTGCCCAGGTAAGAGCTGTTGCTCCGCACGCTGGTGTAGGACAACACCGAGTCTCTGTTGCTGTTGCACTCACTGTAAAATCACACACACACACACACACACACACACAAACACACACACACAGTTAGAATGCATTACAAAGAAAAGGCTTCATTCCGTTCTTAAACCACACGGAGGATTTGGAAAGCAGAGTCTTGTAATTATGCTGCCAAATAATCCCTCTGATTGTAAATGCATTTTGTGATTTACAGCATGTGAGACCAACAGTAATTAAATTTTTTTTATCACAACAACAACAACCGCTGCTGGTCGACACAGAGGAGCATTCAGGAGACTGTGGCTGCATTAGATCCTTAAACATCTGACTAATACTACTGGGCGATGATCGGCCTGTCTGATTTGTTTTTGAGAACACTCCAACTGACCTGTAGCTTTTCTTTTTTTTTTTTATAACCAATTCCTAATAAATGAAATTCAAATTTGGCTCAGATGCAGATGCTTCCCTCTATCAGCTGTCCTGATCACAGCAGGATCCGACTGACCTCAGGCCCCAATACAAGCCTATCAACGCTGGGAGATAAATGTACTGTTTTCAATAACACATGTATAGCATAAATAACCAAATGCATTTATTCCTACATGGGTTGGATTTTGTGTTATTGTAAATGTTGACAAAGATTTCCAGTCTGCTCCTTCGTACCGGTGAGGCCAGACAATCCTCTGTAAAACGAATCGGTCTGGTGGTATTTCTAGTCATACAACATGATTACCAGGAGCACGTGGAAGATTTATGTGCCTCAAATTATACATGCCTTTAAGTGAGCACGCTTGCAATACGCTCGGAGGAGCTTCGAATGATTCACAGGCTGGATTACCGCGATGGATGGCCTACCAGCCACCGTGAGCTACAGCATGACAAACACCGGCTCGTCTTCCTGCTATGATCTGGCGTCCAGCGTTTTTTCTCTACTTCCCCTGGATATCTGTGTGTGCATGTCGAGCTCTGAATCAATTCAGACACACACAAACACACACACCTACGCACACACACAAAATTCGAAAAAGGTGGTTTCCAAATTTAGCTTCACACACCTGCTGACAAAAGCGCGAGCACCGCTGAGATAATTACGCAGCAGTGGATTTGGGCGGAACCTTAAACCACACACACACACACACACACACACACACACACACACACACACACACACACACACACAGCTCTAAATACAGAATGAATGTCCCACACTGGGATGCTGGTGAGCAGCTTCTTAACAGCTTCCCCCATGTGCACACTTTATAGAGCGACATGTCGTATTCACGCTGGAGAAACAATCTGACATACAGGACACTAAACACGCCAGCACACACACTGGAACCACGTGCATTGTGTGTGTGTGTGTGTGTGTGTGTGTGTGGGGTTGATGGATGTGTTGTCTGTGAATGCAACGTGGATATATTTTCTCACATCTTTCCTGAGAATAGAACCATATTGGGATGATTTCCTCTCTGAGGAAACAGCAGTGATGTCCAGGGTTGTTTGGCATGTGAGGACAGTCAGTCAGAGTGAACTGTTATCTATCTTAACTGGACACACTTTACATACATCTCAATACAAGAAACAGCATCCTAACAGGCCTTTTACATGTGCACACTCAGGAGGCAGCGGCTCATAGGAGACACAGAGTCTGGAACAAACACTGCTCTCTTATCTCATCGGTCCGTCCTGCGTTCCTCTGTGACCCTCTGCTAGTGTTTCTGAACCCAGTCCTTCCTGCCCCTGTTCTAACATTGTGTTTCTCACTCGCCGTTTGACCTCCAGCTGCTGCTGAGCTCTGCTGCGTCCTGTCACCACCTCAGGCTTCACCTCTGAAACACAGTAGCACACTTCATGCTGCTGCCGTGAACGGGGAACTTTTTTCCACTGGTTTTCAAAACCCCTTTAGTAAACAACTCACTGTGACTGCGTGTGTGTGTGTGTGTGTGTGTGTGTGTGTGTGTGTGTGTACACCACACGTAGAACAGCCTACATTTTACTTTACATTTTATTGCGATGAGGTAGTTGCATTTCACATGGCAGGGCCTTAATGACAGAGTGGGTGAGGAGGCCGCACCCCAAACATTTGGTTCTATTATACACCAGCCCACCACACCAACAACCAATAACTACATCTTAGTGGGTGGTGGAGGGTGGGGCTTGGTGGAGCTCTGCCCAGTGAGCTGCACACACACACACACACACACACACACACACACACGGAAACATCTGAATGAACTCACAACAAGCAAATGACATAACCAGATCTGACCAAAACATTTTGAAGTCATTTTTAGCCCTCGATCTCAGCTAAGACGCCAACATCTGGAACCAATTGTCGTCTCCAAACGGGGGGGAAATGAGAAGCATTATAGGTTTGTGGGCTGAAGAGAGAGTTTGAACGCTGTTTATGTTTAACAGAGTCCACACTGAGACAGCAGGTGTGAAACAAGAGCGTCCTGCGTCTTCTTTCTTGTGTTTTATGACGATTGAGTTCACACAGGCTGAAATAAGGTCACGTTTTATGGGCTGTACAAACGGGTCCAGCCACAGTTTGTAAGTCTCAGTGTGAGGTTGCGTTTAAACACCAACTTCAGGAACACTAACCTGTAGGAGTCCCTGTAGCTCATCGTGTCGTGACCCGAGTCCTCCTGGTCCTCCTCGTTCACCTTAAAGCACACCCTTTTAATGCCGCCCTGCTCCACCTTGTCCTGATCGCAGCCGTCTTCACAAGGGGCCAGAGAAGGCGGCTGGCTGGGCTCATAGACCGGAGGCTCCCCTTGGAGCTGTGTGGGCTCTGTGATCGATGACAAGAGGCTGGAGACAGACAGAGAGAAGATTAGAATGAGAGTAAAACCAAACATTTTGTTTAAACACTTTGAACCCCAAAACCACCGGCGGGTTTGAAAGGTACGCTGATTCCACCAGATTTACCAGAAAGTAAAGGTCAGATTTCCAGTTTTCCAGCAGTGAACTACTCTCTGTGACATATCAGGAAACATAATGAAGGTTAAAGTCTTGATATTTCAAAAAAAAACAAAAAAACACTTTATTCTATATGTGTCATTCGAAAGTTTATTATAAATAAAGTGTTGGCTTTAAACAACTGTATTTATTCCACAGTGCAGTCGTAAAGTCAGCTGAGACCAGCAGTCACATGACAACACATGTGGCTCTGAGCTGCAGGCTGTGTTCACACTGAGCAAAGAGGAGACGTATGGAAGCACAAGTAAGCAGTTAAATACCTATAGTATGTGGAGTTACCACGATTAATGTTGGTAGTGCCTGTGGGACCTGCTGTACATGGTGTGACAGCGATTGAAATTATCCATCCATCCACTCATCCATCCATCCATCCATTATCTATACACTCACAAGCGTCGCGGGGGGCTGGAGCCTATCCCAGCCATATAAATTATTTTAGTTAAAAATCTAGAAATTTCCTGTGTTAGAAGCTAAGGATAAAATCTAACGTTAAAAATATACTGATTTAAGGTAAAGTTTAGTTGATAAAGCAGTTTAAAGATGTTATTTCATTGGGTAAAGATAAGCTCCTCCCCTTATGAGGACGCCTGTGATGTTGTTATTCTATCTGAATGAGCTACAGGTGAGCGAGCACACAGATGTTCTACCTGTGGACGTGTAATGTCCAGTTTTCAATGGAAATAAATGGACTTTGTCTTGGTCTTCAGTGTGAGAAACCTCCTGTGGTTGAGTGCGGCTGTCTGGTGCTGTTTGAAATACACATGGTGATTCCAGGTATTCTCAACTGTTGTAAAACAACTGAGGTGCTGGAGTCCTGTTGCAGGGAAAACATGAGCCCACAGTAAAGTGTAGGGACAAGAAAGAGCCAGAAACTGCTCGGGATCCCCTTAGACGCACTCCATTCCATGATATACAGCCTGTCTTTATGATTTGTTCAAACATGTTGTGCAGCTCTGTGGACGTTACACATATTGGAATTAAATTCCTGATGTCAAGATGCTTATATTTATATTAAAATACACCGACGCCCACACAATTAAAAACACACATCTATTCATTGACATCGTCGCGCCCCTTCCTCGGCACAGACACACAATGTGCGTCTCCTTCTCTTGATGCTATCCTGGCCTCACGCCCTGTTCCTGTGCTGGGCTCGGCTCATAAATATTTTGGGTCTGAAGAATGTTCCTTTTGTAAATCCTCGGCTTTAAACAAGGCGAAGGGCAGATAGACAAAGAGAGGCCTGCGAACAGCCTCAGGAGGCTGGTGTGGGGATAACAGATCCAGAGATCTCTAAATGTCAGTGTGAAGGCTATGAAAATAGTCTACACACACAGAATTAAAAAAACACCAGTGGAATGACAACACTGGATAACAGCAGCGGATGGTTTCATAGCGGTAGATATAGAAGACTTGTATGGGACACAGAGAAGTTGTATCTAACGGTAGAATATTAATAATATTCTTATTTATATTAAATTAATGAGCTGGAACACTTACACATCTATCTGAGCAACATACTGCCTCATTTCCCTCACAGCAACGTCCAGGCGGCTGTACAGGTAAATGTAGGCGTCCTGCGTCTCCATGTCTTCCTGTTTGAGCAGGAAGCTCAGTCCTCCCTCTCCGTGGACACTCCGGCGATTCTCCATCAAGTCCTCGCCTCCATCCACGGCCACCTTCCCACCGCCATCAGGCTCATCCCCATCCAGACCAGAACAGCTCCAGGACGGAGCTCCCATACTGGTCATGCAGTGCAGAGTGTGGGACATGGGGCTGAGTTGAGCTGCAGGAGGAGAGGAGAGGAG